CTCACTTTCTTTTGGAGCTGAAGAATCAGCTTGACTAGTTAAACTACTATTTCGTTTTGGGCGTGTAATGTTGAATTAATATTCCATCCATTTTAATGTGCCAAGTGATATTTGGAAAATAAAAAGGTTCTCTGGATATCTATACAGCATTAGGAATTTTATGCACTTCTATTCGCCGATTTTTAGGACTATATCGTGCATTTTTCCGATGATTTCTCACGTGAGTTATCTTGGATATTTTCCTTGTTAAAACTAAAGTGAAAATTCCCCATATCTATTTAAAGTCGCAAACGAGTTTAAGTCGGTGTCTAATCGTTTTTTTCTTTAATAATGTTATCGCTCTAGAACTCCTAAAAATGACAAGCAGCCTACAAGCAGCTGCTGCTTAAAATGAATTTTACAGTTGCACTAATGTGCACTAGTTGCACTAAAATGAGTTGCACTAACACATATATGTACCATCATAAATGGAAAACATCACGCTAGTAGTGCTGCTATCTCTGGGCGAGGTAAAGAACTTATCAGACCGCCTTAATACTTTAATTTCAAACAAATAAATTTGTAGACGTAATATAGGTCGTTGAGTTGAAGTTTCCTTCGGCACTCCGTTTTTTTGCTGATTTCAATATTTTTATGACAAAATAAGTATCTAAGACGTCTATCTATGTTCTCCCTTGAGCACTTCGCTTTCATTAAAAAATTATTACTTTATTTATCATATTAAACTGATCCTATTGCATTTCCGAAGTCACATTTGGTGTCTATTCGAGTATATAAAAAAGCTCTTGGAATGTGATAGTACAACTATCATTAATTATGATGAAACTTTTCTAATAAAAATAGTTGTTACTTTTATTTCAAGTAAATTTTGTGGTTAAGTAACTATATTTTAAGAGTTGAAAGCAATGAATAATTTTAAAAGAAAAAAAAAACGTGTTTTAACATATAAGTGACACTTCTAAAAAAAATTGATAGTATACCTATTATTAGCTGTCAATGTCATAATTCACTATTGGTGTAATTTGGTTGACGATGAAGTGAAAATAACAATTGTATTTTTTATGAACAGGATAAACTCATAAAGTTGGTTTTATTTTATTTTGCATCAACTTTTATTATTTGTAATTTAAATTCACAGGGCGCTAAATAGTATGGCGGATTTTTTATTTTTTATAATAAAATTATTTCAATCAACTACATATACATAACAGGTTCTAATGGTATCTTGTGTATTAATTTATCGTTGTAAATCTGTATTGCTTAGTTATTTAGGTCTAATTGGTCTAATTGGTAACTCCTGTCTGTAGAATAAACAAGGGTTCAAACTTTTTATCTTCGACTTTGGCGTGTTCTTTCTATTACTGAAAATTTACCACAATTATGGCAACAAATTCTTGTGTTTTGTTAGCAAAAGTTAGAAATTTACGAAGTTTCAAAAAAGCTCTTGTGACTTGTTCTACTCTGCTTATTATTTTGGTCTCAGGGTCTTAACCACCGTTTACCAGACAACCCAAGTATTTAAACTGCCTGATTTGTTCGATTTCTTCTCCAGCTACAATATATCTTTGAATTTGTGTAATTATTTCTACCTATAATTATCGTTTTTGTCTTATTGATATTTATTTTTAAACCCAAAGCTTCACTTGCCAGAGTTAGATCATTTAAAAGACATTGAAAATCTTCGACGTTATCTGCCACTATCGCTGTGTCACCGGTATACCTAATGTTATTAATACCCTTATGATTGTTTACCTCTTATACCCTTATTAGAGTATGTGACTGCTTCTGCGAATGGTTTTTTACGTATAAGTTAATGAACATTCGAGAAGAAGACATAATTTTGCTGTTGGTCTTTATATCAGTTTCAGGATCCCAACTACCGTTTACCAGCAACCAAGTATTTAAACTGCCTGACTTGTTCGATTTCTTCTCCAGCTACAATATATCTTTGCATTTGTGTAATTATTTCTATCTATAATCATCGTTTTTGTCTTGTTTATATTTATTTTCAAACCCAAAGCTTTACTTGCAAGAGTTAGATCATTTTAAAGACATTGAAAATCTTCGATGTTATCTGCCACTATCGCTGTGTCACCGGTATACCTAATGTTATTTATACCCTTATGATTGTTTACCTCTTTTACCCTTATTAGAGTATGCCACTGTTCTGCGAATAGTTTTTTTCTACGTATAAGTTAAAGAACATCGGACAAAGTGTACAACCTTGCCTTCTCTTTTTTATTAAGAAATCTTCCATTTCGTCGCAATTTTAAAGACGTAATTTTGCTGTTGGGTTCCAATACTGATTGACGATACCTCTATCTTTGGCATCCCAACTGTTGTAGATATTTTATCATTAGTTCGTGTTTTGCGTTATCAAATGCTTTTTCATAATCGATGAAACAGAGAAAAACATACTTTCTTTAATCTAAACAATTCTGTATTAATGTTTCGCACTGAAGGTCGCCTCTCAACCCATTTTTGAAACCAAACTGACTCCAGCCACTGACCTCTTCACATTTCTTAAATAATCTCGTGTGTAGTATTCTCAAGAAATATTTTAAAAGTGACTCATTAGGCTTATTTGCTGGTGGTCCTTGCAAAATTTTGCACGTGGTGTTTTGGGTAGTCTTGGCTAGTTTCAATCTTGGAATCTGGCCAGTAGAGCTTCACAATAATGTCTAGATTTACTTCATTAAGTAACTTGATTGTTTCTGCATACATATCTAGTCCTGCAGTTTTGTTACTTTTTAATAGTTTTATAGCGTATACTATCTTAGTTTTCAAAATACTTGGGCCATTTAAATTTTTAGGGTTTCGATACTTTGATCACAATAAATGATCAACAAGTTTGATACATTTTTCATTTTTGTTTATCTATCTAATTCCTTGAAAAAAAAATATTTTTACACTCGTTATTTAAACCTGCAAATATCACTTTGTGATTTCACAACTTTGAGTTTTTTTTTCCTACACATGTTTTAATTAATTATAATACTACAAAACACATATCTACCATTTATTTTATATCTCGTTTTAAAAGCTCTAAGCTATTGGAAAGTTACTTCACATTGGCCTACTGCATCAACAGAATACGCAGTATTCAATAGAGCATCATTTTCCTGCAAATTTATTCATATTTATAACTATCACTAACAGTCCACTTACATAGTAGATACTTTATGCAGCTTATGACATAAATACCCACAATGATAAGGTATCATTAGCAATTTGTTATGTACAAATAATCTATAATTCACTACTCTTCCTATCACTGTAATATTTTAAAAAAACATATTTCTCTCATACACTTTTTGTTTTGTAAAACAGCATAGGTTCAAGTTTTTATTCTTAAGTACTTAAGATAGGTATTACAGAAATCAATGTAAAAATTTTTGTATGTTACATATTCTTAAAAATATTTAGAATAAGTTGGACAAATCAATTATAAACTTGTTTTATAAATAAAGATATTGATTGAAATCGGTGCTTCATTTTCATTTTACCTGTCTGGCATGGAACTCTTAATTAATAGGTAAAAGAAATAATAAATAAGACTTACAATCAGTTTAATTTAACTATCTAGACGACCGGTTTCGCTTTCTACAATATGCAAAGCATCTTCAGGTCTGTCGATACAAAGTTAATTAAATGCTGAAATAATAAAACCCATATTAGGGTGTTGTCTTATAAAGATAAACAAAGATAAATGATAGAAATTACAGTAATTATGCCAATATTACATGTCTGTGGTTTTCAAAAAATGAATAAACTGTTTAAGCAGACAAAGTAAGACCCACAAATTGGTATAAAAATAGTATATTGAATTGTAATAAATTAGTAAATAAACAAAACATTACTTACATTATTACGTACACTATTAATTAATGGTTGGAAGAACATAGTTTAAACTATCCTGTATTGCTGAATGGAGAATTTCAATTTTTACTATTGTAATTGTTTGACAATAAACGGGGAAGTTTCTTGAGGAGATAGATTTTATTCAATGAAGTAGAAAATAGGTGTAATGTGAGTGTTTGTTAAATGAGAGTGATGTTCTATATTATTTAATTCTTTAAAAGTTATTTATACTTATTCAAGAGATATATTTATGAAATGTGTCTTATATATTGAAATTTGACTTGGAGTCAGAGATGTAGTGCTTTTAAGTCCCCCTTTTTTAAAATTTAATGTCTGTTTTGTCCTTTTTAAGTGTGTTTTGTTTGTCCCCAAGTGTCCTTAATTGTTTTAGTTTTAATAATTTTACATACTGGACTTTACAATCATTTGCCATACAATAGTAAGTCAATTGAACTTTATCAAAGAAATTTGATAATTATATCTCTTGAATAAATATAAATAACTTTTAAAGAAATAAATAATATAAAACATCACTCTCATTTAACAAACAATCACATTACACCTATTTTCTACTTCATTGGATAAAATCTATCTCCTCCAGAAACTTCCCCGTTTATTGTCAAACAATTACAATAGTAAAAACTGAAGTTCTCCATTCAGCAATACAGGATAGTTTGAACTATGTTCTTCTAACTATTAATTAATAGTGTACCGGCATGTAAATAATGTTTTGTTTATTTACTAATTTATTACAATTCAATAGACTATTTTTATACCAATTTGTGGGTCTTACTTTGTCTGCTTAAACAGTTTATTCATTTTTTGAAAAACCACAGACATGTAATATTGGCATAATTACTGTAATTGATATCATTTATCTTTGTTTATCTTTATAAGACAACACCCTAATAAGGGTTTTATTATTTCAGCATTTAATTAAATTAAACTTTGTATCGACAGACCTGAAGATGCTTTGCATATTGTAGAAAGCGAAACCGGTCGTCTAGATAGTTAAATTAAATTGATTGTAAGTCTTATTTATTATTTCTTTTACCTATTTGAAAAGGACTCACACAAGCAACACATTCATGATTTTCTTAATTAATACTTTGTCATTAAATATTTTTAACTTATTTCAGGTTCGATAGAAACCAGACATTTTGGAGAATCGTAAGTATAGTTTACCTTACATTGGGTATCATTTACAATAAAGAGAATTATGTGAAAGGGAAAGTAACAAAAAAGAATACACTAAATTTTGTAATACAGGTTCGTTTCTGGAAGAAAATCTAGTAGGTACATTCTAAACAAGTTCGAATTGGCTGAGGATAACATTTGTAAGATCTTGAATAAAGTATTTTTTTGTACTTTCTCGTACTTGACACACTGGGTAAGAATATGTTAAACGGTTAATGATTCACTACACTTTTCAAAAACAGTTGAATTCTCCGAAACATCAGGTGTCCATGTGTCAACCGTGTGTGACCAATTCTTAGCCTACGAACGATTAATTTGTCTCTTCTACTTAAGTTAGATAGCTAAAAGGTTTCGATGGTGGGTTGTATTTTGTTTAATTTTAAGGTTGAATTCTACCATTGGTTTTGCCAGGGTTTTTTAATTTGGGACCTGAAAAGTGGTTTTAGATCTGATGCTAGTTGGAACAGATTTGATGTCTGATATGGTTGTAATTCTTTCTTTTGCAGCAGTATCAGTAGTCACATTACCTAAAATGCCAACGTGTGAATGAATCCAGATTAATGTTATGTTTGTTCAGAAGAAGTGATACAGTTTGTTGCTTCATGTATGGTATGAACTAATAGATGTTTGGAATATATATTTTTAATCGAGTCAATGGAGGACATCGGATCTGTACATATTGCTTGGTTTAAGTTTGGTTACATAAGCCTTTTAATGCTTCTAGGATGGCAGACAGCTCTCTTGTATGGATAGACGTGGATTGAGGAAGGCAGAACTTCCGAATGATACTATTTGAAGTTGTTACAGAATATCCGACACCAGTCTTAGTTTTAAATGCATATGTGTAAAGAATCTCGTCATATGAGTTTGTGTTGACCAGCTCTAGGAAAGATTGAAGCACAATTTGGCTTCATTTTTGTGGTAATTATTTAGCGAAAGGTTAATTTTCGTTGTTGACAGAGTTGACGACAGAATATGTTATTGAAAAATCAACAGGTCGTGAAAGGGGAAGTAAAATTTAAGGTAATGTCTGGTATTTATTGTTAGGCTCACAATTATAGGGTTTGTATATTAGCTTATATAGAGTGTTGTTTTGAATGAATGAGTGTTCAATATCGATACATACCATCTTTTTGTAGACTTCAAATCTGCCTATGATAGTGTCCTAAGAAATAAATTGTCTGAAGCAATGAATGAATTCCACATTTCCGATAAACTGATAAGATTGGTTAAGGCTACAATGCGTAATGTGGTTTGCAAAGTCGAAATACAGGGCGAACAATCACAGGCGTTTGGAACGCATGTTGGGCTGCGACAGGGAGACGCGCTGGCGTGTCTCCTTTTCAACATAGCACTGGAAAAGGCGATCAGAGATGCCCGAATAGACAACAGAGGAAATATTTTTAATAAATCATCCCAAATTTTGGCATATGCAGATGATGTGGACCTAGTTGCCCGCACAACACGCAAGCTAGAAGAAATGTATACCACCTTCTCAAATGCCTCAAAATCTATGGGCCTGCAAGTAAATGAGGAGAAAACTAAGATGATGGCATCAACACCCAACAATAGAGCCAGGAACATCGGTCCCCAATTCACGTGATAACTCTACCTTTGAAGTGGTTGACAAATTCACATACTTAGGCTCCCTGATCACCAAAGAGAACGCCATAACGGAAGAAATCAAGCGAAGGATAGTAATGGCAAACAGATGCTATTTTGGACTGAGTAGACATATGAGAAGTAGAAACTTAAGCCAAAAAACAAAAATAACTATATACAAAACCCTTATACAGCCAGTGTTGACATATGGATCGGAGACATGGACCATCTCCAAGGCAGACGAAGACCTTTTGCTTATATTTGAACGAAGGATCCTGAGAGGAATATTTGGTGGCATCTGTGAAAATGGTGTTTGGAGGAGGAGATACAACTACGAGGTATACCACAGATATAAACAAATATTTGGTGGTAAAGACGTAGTATCTCTTATAAGAATAGGAAGATTAAGATGGGCAGGACATCTAGCAAGATCACAGCAGAACAACCCTCCTAGAAGAATCCTTATGTCACAACCCGTGGGAAGCAGAAAAAGGGGTAGGCCAAAACTCAGATGGAAGGATGGTGTAGATGAGGATGGTAGAAAGATAGGCGCAGCAAACTGGCAACGGTTGGCAATGGATAGGACTGCCTGGCGTAATAGACTTGGGAAGGTCGAGGCTCTTTCATAGGGCTGTAGCACCATTGATGATGATGAAGCAAAAATGATTCTTCGCAGAATCCATAGTATTTAAGTTTAGCTACCAGCAACTAGTGTCAAACGTTATGTGAAAATCCAAAGGTACCAAAGCAGAACACATTTTATTATTATATACTCTAAAGGTATTATTATTATGGAAGCCAGATGGACAAAACTTCATCTACAGAAGAGTTGGCGAACAGTATGTCAGTTGTAACCTCATACACAGCGTTAGTTTTGGAGGTGGCGACATAATCCTATGAGGTAATTGGGCGAATGATAGCTGACATGTACTTTAAAAAAATTTTAGCCATAACCCTCTAAGGACGAAATTTCCAAAATTTTAAAAATTCTTCCGAAAAAATGTTTTAATTAAATTAAAATCAATAATTATGTGTACGACATATTAATATTAAATTTTTATCATTATTTTTGCAAAAAAAAACTGAAAATTTTAAACGTTACGAAAACGTCACATTAGGCATCTAGAAGTAATACAATAATTTTAATGAAGATATTTATTGGTGCAAAAACATAATTTTTGAATAGCATGACAAATTTTAATTATGATGAAAATCGTAAAAACAATTCGAATTTTTATTAATACATAAGTACACGTTGCACTTCTCACAATAATGCACAGGAACTGCTTTACAACCAGGTTTTCGACATCGTCCTCTTTTATCTTTCACAACGGGCCAATGTCCTATTTCATCCTGCCGAATATCCTTTTGAGGAATCATTTTTGTAGCTGCACTTTTGTGTTTTTTTGCTGCATGAAGATCATCAATAGAGCTACTGCTGGGACGTCCTAATTTTTTGGTAACTGTCAGTGTCTTTCCTTGCTTCATTAGGCTTTCGGCTATGCGACTCTTAAACTCAAACAGAGACAGTTCGTTTTTCTTTGGAACACCAAAATCATTGCAGTCACGTCTATATAAAAGCCAACAATTTACAATTGTCATATCCATAAAATGGAATAAAAAACGATGGTAATATTTCTTCGATCTAATTGTGATTCTGTATAGACCTATTAGTGAATTCATAAGATCTACTCCGCCCATGAATTTATTGTAAGTTCTAATTGCTGTGGGCACTGAACATCTACAGTATCTTTTCTTGTTTTATCCCATCTTCTAATTGTATCAAGAGGTTTGGCAGAGGAAAAGTTGGAAATAAGCAATACTGCACGAGAGTCGTGCCATTTGATAATATTGCAAGGTACAGTATCATTTTCAACTCTAATTCCTGAAACGATCCACGTCCTCTTGTTTTCAGGATTTTTTCTGACAATAAAGGACACCTAGGAAGACGGTTTGAGCGGCCTGTTCCTAGACAATATATTTTCTTTTGAACTAGCTTATTCAAAAGAGGTATCGATGAAAACCAATTATCGATATAAAGAAGGTGATTGTCTTGTTGAATGCTTCTGCAGAGTGTTACAACAATATTGCCGCTGGAACCAATATCATTGTATCCTGGAGTAGCGGAAACGTAATGAAATCGTAACGTTTACAACACATGTTTAATCTTCAATTTACGACTGTTTATAGTGATAAGCATGAACTATCCATATACTACACAGAACTTTCCTGCTAATAACTATTTTACAGATTCCTTCCCGGTAAACATTACTGATTTTGTCGAAATCAAAATTAAAATTTTCTGTTAGCATCAGTCAACTTGTATCCTAATCTGTTTAGAGAAGTATGCGGTTGAAAAATTGGCCGGAGTGTGTGGCAGTGACTGTTTCAGTATGAAGCGTAATATTACGAATTCGTAACTTTCGGCATCGATGAGATTAGGTTAATAGTTTGCCTACAAATCGCTTTTGATTGGAACGTTACGAAAACGTCACACTCGTCCTTAGAGGGGTAAATGCTATCCTATTTGTCGGCCATATTGGATGTGGCAGAAATAACGGAATGCAATTCCTCAAGTGTATATTCAAGATTTAACTGTCATATTTTGACAGAACGTCAAAATATGACGTCTTATGTAATACGTAGTTTTAAGCTATTTTTTGTTGTCGTTCCAAAAATTTCAATGTTTACTTTTTTATTAGTATTATTTAATACTAAAAATGCGTTTCTTTTTTTTAAATATTCACTTAAAACGTGTTAACTAAAGTTTTCCTTTCAGAAAAATAGTGTTTTTGAATCATCAATCGATCATATATTTAAAATATTCCATATTTTTGTCCACGAGTATATTTGAAATTCTGTTCATTACATAGGATTTCAGAATTATGTCTGCTTTTATTTCTATATTGTACAACCAGTTTCTTAATATACGATTTTTCTAAAATGTTTATGTTTTTAGCAGTGACACAGAAAGTGCAGATGTTCGGCCCAAAGATGCTAGAAAACCACTCAAATTGTCATTATTATTCAAAAAGAACAAGGACCATGTCGCTTCAGAGCCTGACCTAGAAGCTAGAACACTAGATAATGAATTGTCAGAGCCGAAGAAATCGCCTTTTCCAGAAGGAGATGAAAGAGCCTTAGTTTATGCCGAACTGGATCTGGTACGAGCCGATATGGTACCAGTGGTTAAAAACGACGATGAAAAAACAGAATATGCAGAAATTGTATACACCCAAGCCGATGAGGGAAAAGAATCTCCCAAGAAGTAAATGAAAGACTGAAGAATATTAAGTTAAGGTTTTGTCAGTAAGAATCAGATTTATTTCTTATTTTTTGTTATTCTTTTATTTTATACTACATGACAATTATAATGTAATAATAATCGTAGCAATTTTGATTTGTAAAGCAAATGAAAGGAATTTGAGCGATAAGTTACAGTCTTTTTTGAATATTTGGTTATCTTCACTGTCTTTGTTAACCAGCTACATATATAAGAAAGAAATGATATTGATATGCTATTTATTTCGAAAATAATGAATTAATATTACTTTTTTGAGGTAATAAAACCAATTTATAGTGGAATTTATAGTGTTTAAGATGGCCCAGTTATTTACGTTTAGTTCCATGTTCGATACCATGGATCATGTCTGGAATTATCATAAAAAATAGGTATAACATTGTGGTTTCCCATTATTTATTTCTATATTTCCTATATTCCGTATGGTTTCTGGTTGTCTGGTTTTCTGTTTAAATTTTTGTTTTTATTATCTCTTTATTGCTATCTAGTATCTGTTTTAAAACTTGTCTGGAGTATATATTGCAACTTAATATATTGTAGCTGAATGTATAATATATTAGTAGATTACAATTCCACTCAAAACAAACTTAAATTTGCTGATTTGTATTTTATATTTTACTTTCAGTAGTTGAAGCTAATAATCTACATAATATAGTCTTACGACGATATCCACACCAAACAACTACGGGTGATTCTTAAATGGGGCCTTTTTATTTATCGGTTTTTTTATTTTATTAATTATTGTTTCAAAAGTTTCTTTGTTTTATATTTTCATGGAATTTTAAAAACGCAACTTAGCCTAATGCTAGTCAAGTTTAGCACACATTTATATATTTTATTTCTGTGTTCTCCTTGTACTTTACCTATCAAAATTGCTACAAATAAACAATACAATTACAATTTTAATGAATTGGTTATATGTATAAAGTGAATGGAACAAAACCGATATAATTACTTATTTCAGTAATTAAAAACTCATTTTGTTTCAAGCTTTATTTAAATCTTAAAAAGGAATGTTATTAAGAGAAGATTTTTTAAACTAACAGGATGATTCAATTTAATAATTTTGAAACTTTGTTATTCTAAAGAATATTGACTAAAGCTGCAAATATATGGAAGTCCGAAGGTGTCAAATCTGTGGGAATAGGGTAAATAGTCCAGAAATTTGTATTGGAGGTTCTCCAATTTATCCATACCAAGATGCATTATCCTAGTGAAAGAGCATTTTGAACAATTTCACGGTCACATTTTGAACTTCGCCACCTATTTCTTCATGATGTAAATTTAAGGTGAAGAGTTACCACACACATTTATTAAAAATTTTATAGCTGCACGATAGGCAGAAAACATTCTTTTTCTTAAGTCGTCATCTAACGAAAGTTGGCGATCACTTTTTTAAACGCTTCCCTATCTTTGGCAACGTGAAAAATATCTGTTCAATACTGAGGGTTAGTCCAATCTCTGATATTCCTCAGCCAAGATTTCTTCTTTCTTCCAAGCCTTTTGTTCCCTGTACTCTTCCTTGCATATTGACGTGCAGACGAGAGTATTTATCGTTTTGAAGTGTGTGGCCAGATATGATATTTTTCTTATTTTAATTGTGTTCATATGCTTTGTGCCATGTCCAACTCGTCCTTAACACGTTCTTCGTTTGAGACTTTTGCATTCGAAGGAATTTACAGAATACGTCTATAGAGCACATTTCGATATGCCATTTAATTTTTTTAACGGATTGAGCTTTTCCAGAGCCCCAAACTTCTACCCCCATATAACAGTTATGAACCATAAAAAACATAAACATTCGGACGAATCACAAATTTGATAACCATACTTTAATTTCTATTTGTAAACATGGGAATTGTATTTATTATAAATAATTTTCGAGCTATTTCAATTCTGACCTTTTATCATTCTTATTCTTGATCGAAACTAGTGAGTTTATAATTGCTCTAAGGTTTATACTTAGTAGAATTTGTATATTTTCATCAGTTGGTAATGTTTCATTATTTCATCTCTATTATCTGTACATAAGTTCTTGATGTATTCCTCCCAAGTTTGTTGTTTTTCCTCTTCTGATATTGTGTATCTCCATTGGAGCTTCTTATGACTTGTATTCTCTTCTGTGTATTACCAGTAATTTCTTTTAGTTTCTTATGTAGGTCATGTGTGTCCTGTTTCATATTAAATTCTTCTATTTCTTTGCAACTTTCATCCATCTAACGTTCTTTAACTTCCTTGGTCTGCGTTTCTACTAGTTTCTTCAATTGCTTATGTTTTTCTTTATTTGTATTTCAGTATTTTGGTTTTTCTTCTAGGAGCTTTATAATACCTGGTGTCATCCAATCTTTTTTTGCACTTGGTTCTTTTCTACCCACAAACGTTTTACCAGCGTTAAGTACTGTCGCCTTCATTTCGTTTCAGGCACTGTTAATATCTTTTTTGAAGGTTCTGTGAATGCTGGTGTAATTGCTTCATTTATTTGTTGTTGGCATTTTTCACTTTCAAGCTTTGACAAATTAATCTAGTCTCAATTGTTTTTGTTGTTTTCTCAGTTTATTGTTAACGTTGACAAGAAGTAAATTGTGATCGGAGTCTATATCAGCACTAGGATATGTTTTCACGCTTTTAATCCCATTCTTAAATCTTTTGATAACAAGACTGTAATCGATTTGGTTTCTTATGAGATTATTTTCGTTGTCTCCTGGTGTACTCCATGTATAGAGACTCCTTGGTGGTAATTGATATATGGTATGTTTGTGATGACTAGTTCTTTCTCTTGGCAATATTGTACTAATCGATGTTCTCATTCGTTTCTTAATCCTAGACCATAATTCCCTACAGTATCTTCTACTTTCTCTTTACCGACTTTGACGTTAAAGTCGCTCATTATTATGTTGACTTCATGTTTTCGTTAGATGTTTTAAATCTGAATATAATACATCTATGTCATTATTGGTGTTGCGTGATGTTGGGGCATAAATTTGAATTATGTTTATGTTAATTGGGAGGGTTTTACCTGTAATATTATTATTCTTTAATGATAAAGAATAAAGTTAGAGACATATGGTAGTAGTGTTTTGTTAATCATGATTGCTACACCATTGTTGTGATCATCGCTACTGCTACGCGAGTAATTGAGAACAATGTCGTTATGATAGCGTTGTCCAGCACTGGGCCTTCGCTGGAGCCAAGTATCCTCTCTTTCAAGTTGCTCATGCTACTCGTTGTGAGTTGTATAGTTTTATATAATGTTCATATATTCCACGTTGTAATACGATTTATATTTATATTGTTTTTCCGCCTGGAGATTAAAGAAGCCATTGACCAGTAAGCTCCCTTCCTCGTCAGCCCCGACCCTACTTTCCATTAGGGTGGGTTACCCAATCTCCAGTAGTATTGCTAAGATTCCAGGGTTCACATATGTGACATTGATCATACTTCTTGGAGGTGAGGATAGGAATTGGGTACGAGAGGCTTGAGGTGCTATCTGAAAGCAACACCTTATGATGCGCATCACTACTCTATTTGAACCCCGTTCTTAACAAACAAATCATTAATATGTTTATTAATTATTAAGCTTATTATTGCTTTGCATTTTAAGAAGGTTTCCGAAGTTAAAATCGAAACGTCATCACAATAAACTTATTCGCAATAAAAACAGTAATTGCATTAATATGTCACAAGAAAATAGCAGCAGAACAATATCAAGACTTTTAGGAAATCCAAACTATCTTTTGTGGTATCTTTTATATTTTTTTTGCAAATTTTGTTGTACTTCTGTCTTAAAATCACCATCGGACAATTTTTTAGGAACGTTGTGGAAGTTTTCTATTTATATTTAATATTATAGATAGTAAATTAAGTTAAACTTGTTTTGTTCTAAAATTTGTTATTAGTTTGAATCATCCTGTATTACTAATATATTAAAATACTGTCTAATATGGATTTTTGTTTACTTTACGGAATCGGAGCTCAAATATTATGTTATATATAAACAGTTTTTCTATACTTAAAGTTTTTTATGGGCATTATAAATTTGTTAAATAACAAAATAATTAATAATAACAAACATCCATATTTTGAAAGACAAATTAGACACATCTATATTTTTTATATTAAGTTATGTTAGATTATGAAAACATATTATTTCATCAAAAAGATTTTGTACTTAACAACTAGGAATCGAACCGCTTTTGTAAAATCTTTTTAGCAGTATTTAGTAGTTTAATTTTAAATTAAAGAGAAGTTTGTGTTTGTCACTGTTTTTGACAAGTGAATATGGACAAATATGGACAATTTTTTAACAAAAATAGTTATGCAACAAGTGCCAAAAGTAAAGCCGCTATCTCACAGCTCGCTTATAGGCGCTCGCTGGTTCACGTAAGCAAAGAGAAACAGATAATATCCAATGAAAGAAAAACACGATCATCTTAGTGCGAAATTAATAAATATTTAGTTTTTTAAAACTAACCCAATGAAGCGTGTCCGTCCAGATTAGAGTTTAGGTAGTTTTGTCCACCAGTGTTGCCGGTAAAACTTTAGTAAGTTGGGTAATTTATACAATGATTTAAATACTTAAAAATAACTATGTTAGACCACTCCCTAGTCAAATTACCATGACATTAACCGTACCTGCCCTATTCACGTCGGAAGGTTTGATGAGGTAAGTACGTGCAACCCAATTCCTTTGAACTGTGTTAATTTAACGACAAACAACGGGACTGCATGCGCTGGCCATTAATATATAGTTTTGCCTTATTCCAGGGATCGTAAACCACAAATGTTAAGGGGAAAATGCTATTTCATGTAAGATTCATTAACGTTTTTATATTTTGTCTTTTTCTGTTATTTTGTATTTTCTATTTCTCTTCGCCGATGAAGAACGACGCTCCACATTCTGTCAGATCGCACCTGAAATGTTTATTATACACTAAATGAAATTGACTAACAAATCCCTTCGGGTGACATAAAAGCACGTCGAGACTTCGTTTATATTAAACATTCAATTTGGACCGTGCAATTTCGAACCTGGGCCTTATTTCTTTAGCGTGGTCCCTTTGTTAGTTATGGGTAGTTCCAGGATAGCTGAATCTCTGCAAATTGCATTTTTTCCTACATCTTCGCATTTCTTGTAAATCCTGGCATGTTTGATTTTAAGAAAAGCTTAAGACTAACTCATAAGGCTAACAGACCGGAATTTCTTGCACATTTTTGCAGGCAGTTTCGTTGGCAGTGCTGCAAATATTAACAACAGCTATTCCTCTGGAATATTACCTGAATTGTAGATGGCACTTACCTTCTTTGTGCTTACTTCAACTTCACCTTCATAAGTTCGGCTGGGTATTTTCTCCAAACTTATGGCTTTACCGTTTTTAGACTATTTTAAAGGTTCTTTCAACGTGCTCTCTAGTATTGACGGGCCAGTAATCCAATTCATTTCTGTATACCTGCCTCGGTAGTCCCGGAAAAATTCTTCGATCTACACTTTCCAGATCTACTCCTCAATTGCCATCGCCAAGTTCCC